TCGATAGTAGCAATACGATGATTTATCCAATAGAAATTTCGACTGCAATGGACTTTGGAATCTTTCAACTCAGCACTTCTCCAACAAAATACTTCCAACGTTCTACCTATACTTGCGCTAACTTTCCAAAACCCAACACAACCAATCGAGAACTGTACAAGCTCGAGTTCTCCGTGAACGTTTAGGAAACAGCTGTGGGAGTACACTTGTAGAGATCTAAACGAAAGCATCGGAACTTGTATTTCTTGGGCACCGTGGCAACTTCCGGCGCGCGAATTCGAAAGGTTTGCCTCTGCTGGAAAGGCGCGAAAGCGTATAATCTGTCGCGAGAGCCTCACCCTCGTTCCAAAGTGTATTAGGCTGTTTCGTACTTTCCGCTCACGTACGAAAGGTGCACGCTACGAACGGAAAATCTTGCTCGCTGGTGGAGAGAGCGTCTGCAATCTACGTTCACAGAGAAGCGCACATGAGCGTGCACGAGTCCGCCGTATCATCCGACGGTCGATTTAATTTTAACTTAGATCGCAATCCCAGGCTAAAGAACTTCCAAGTAATGGCTCGACCGTTTTATCGTACAACTATGCTGCCCTCCTACCTCCTTGTAAACGTGTGTACGCGTGAGCTGATCGAACCAGTCGCGTGTTCGGTGGAGTTAGTATGCGCGATTACCACCATTTTCACACGATGAACACCAAGTAACACGTCGTGATACTACGACGAATCGGATATAGAGATGGGTATTGTCGGGGAATCGAGTGAGACTTTCTCGACTTCTTAATTATTACTTAATTATTTAAAAGACGAAACGTTGGTTTGATAATGGTACTTTGCTATTTGAGCTTGCTTTGATTGCTTTAATCGATGATAGAAGAAGATTAAAAATTTGTATTTGCGTGTTTTGCTAAACAGTTCTTTCTATGTTTGAAATAAAATAAACGTAGTGACGATAAAAAAATGTCGTGTAGGTGATTGAAGTTGATTCTGCAATCGATACTCCCACGAGAGAATCGAGATCGAGCGCACCGCGCTATTTTTGCAATGAATACTTTTCGTGAAAGCGATTGTATCGTTATTTTTTAATTGTCGTACTGCTAAATGGCACATTTTACAACTGCAGGTGACACGATGTTCCTAAACAGGTGGCAATTACTATCGCATTTACAATGCGCGTTCGTGTTGTAGTAGGAGTGTACTCTCAGAGAGAAGTATGGTTGTTGTGTTTGGAACTTAGAACTCTATGAATGCGCGCGTCAAAGACTATATACTTGGTTGAATTGCGTGCATCTATGTGCGAACGTCTGTGTAGGATTGAATCCTCGTACGGAAGAACAGCATGTACTTGAAACGAAATTCCAGCAGGCATAACCAATTTCAACGTGCTTTCAGAATTTAGAGACTTCTCTCTGTGAAGAAACAATAGTATAATTTTTATATATGCAGATATATTCTGCGTCTTGCTTACACTGTGTTTAGTACGTTGTTGTGAAATTCTGTCGAATTTTTTCAATTTTTTGTTAGAAATTATAATTACTCTGCCGCGTGTAGTGCTAAGAGATCAATTTTCCGACTATTACAAAATTCAGAGACATCTAATTTCCATATTTAACACATACATATACCGTATATCGTTCTCGATTTCTATCGATGTTATCGCGGCACAATGTGCAAGTTGATATTACTAGTTTAAATCGGGATTACGTTTTATGTATTTACGTGCATTTACATCTATTCTATTGCTTATGTCATGTTTACTATCTCTGGTACACGATTGTAGCAAAGGTACTGCTTACGTTTAGCTATAAACATTATTACGTCAGAGTTCATTCGTTACAACACCGTACTCAAATAAATTATACCTTTAGATACTTAACATCGTTCTCGAAGCTCAGCTTGTGAACAAACAAATGCATAACATTATGCATCGCTGTTTAAACCTTCTACCTCTTTCATAACATCGAACAAAATCGAAGAGGAATGAAAATATTATTTTCTTCAATTAAATAAACATCATTAAAAAGGAAATAAAAATCCATGCAATTCATTGACGATTTTACGCGTCGATTGTAACTGAATCGTTCCAAAACCGTAAAAACCACCTGCGCATCGCTCGAAACACGTAGCAAAGCAAACGAAAAAGAGAGGTGGCGGAACATGAAAAACAAAAGAACGAACGAAAGAGGGACACAAAACGTCAGCCAACGATGCTGGATAGGGCTTTTTAAACGGCTGGAGATAGCAGGTTGCCAGTTGAAAGACTCTTCCCTAGGTGAATGTAGAGACACGCTTTCATGGGCGCGCAGTCGGGCAAATTCGTGCACGCGGACGCGAATAACGGGGTCTTGCTTGACAAAGCCCGTTGCAAAGTGCTTACAAACTAGTCATAAATGCGCGCGGACCTACCGCCCATTACCAAACAAACGTTCATTGGGAAAGAGAAACGAGTTACCGGTATTATAGCAGTTCGTCGCGTTTCCTTTGAACTCGAAAACATTTTGTACCGACCACTAATCCCAACCCCTGTTCCCTCTGTCTCGACGTCGGGAATATAAATCCCCGAGCAACGATTATAACGATCCAGTCCAATTGAGGGAAGAAGACCGTTTGCTACGAAATTGCGTCTGGGAATGAGGGACTGTCAATTTTGTTTTTAGCCAGTTCGAATCTTTTCCTCTTCCTCCACGATTAATACGAAGATATGATGAACTGGTTAATGTAACTGGACGGTCATTTGGTTCGGAGATTTTATGTTTCTTTTCGCGAAGGACAGGGCGAGTCGCGAATTTTCTGCAAATTTTCCTTAAAATACGCATGTGAATTGGAAGAGGGTGAAGTTCGATGGTTTAGGAAAGAGGCTGAGTGTTTTATTTTACTATAACTGTTCTTATCATTTGCTATATTCTCGATGATAAACGAAATCGGGGGGAATTGTCGAAGAGAAAAATTCCGATAAGCTTTACCCCTCTATGGTGCGAATTTAATAATGTGGTTGTAAACTGTTACTGGTCTTTTCTTTCTTAGTGAAAGATTCGAAACATATATACATCTCTCGTTAGCTCAATACTCGAGAAGCGAAATTATACTCCGTTTAACTTCTCCAAATCATAGCCGCACGGTAACACGGTCCTCCTTAATATTTCAGAGTGCAATAAGCAGACACCTCGCGCGACATACAGCCATAAACTGGCACGTAAAATTAATTTCAGCATAGAAATGTTAATTCTCAGCCGGTAAATATGCATATATCATGTGCTGACCGTGCTCCCTGCACTTTCATACACGTTGGTAATATACAACCGTTCTAGATCACGCGAAGCGGTTTCTACGTTTATTGCGCCGTTGACGCTTCACACGTAGCCTAACTTAAGTCACGTTTATCAAAGATTTGATATCTGAACACGTATATGTTACTGTTTCCGTTGGCGTGTCCGCTCGAAGAAAAAATATACCGCTTTCTCGTATTTCCTGAAACCATTTCGAGGACACCTCCCCGCTGACAAATAAAATCGATCATTTTCGCTGAAGACCGACCGTTACGGTCCTAGTTTTTTGTTTTCTTTTCAATGTTGTCGTGTCATCAAAGAATATTCATTTAGGTATAAACCGATCTCTCAAAGAAATGTTAAAGCACTCACTTTGGTTTTGTAGACATCCGACTATCCACTTCGGAGTGCAAGTTTTCATTTTCTCCAAAAAACTTTTGACGTAGTAATTTGTTGCGCTCTCGTAATGATTCCATCTTGAATATTGCTGTAGTTGTCGGTAATAAATCCTTGAATAACGTTGCCGTTCGTAATCACTGTTACAGAAAACCAATGAGGAAGAGATGACGTCCAGTTTTATAGGTAGTTGCTTATCTTATCGAAGTACTGATATCGTATTCGTTATTGATATCGATCTTTGTTACTGGAATCATTTGTGATTCGCAAAGCAAGAGAGAGAATCAAAGTACCGTATATTAATAGCGCTTTTCTAGCCTTTTGATCGCGTTATCAGAACCGGAAAATCGCACCTTTCCAGACATCTGGGTTATAACAGTGCCGTATTATTACTTAAATCGTACGGCGATCGACTGGTTCGTACAATTTTCGAATAATAAGAAAACTGTCGGATGTCAGCACTATTTTACTCAAGGTCGGCCTTCTACGGATAATAACATCAAGATTTATGTACACCAAGGTTCCGTTCTCTCTATTCCACTATGTGGTCTCTGACCTCCCAACTTCCCGCAACGTGGTCGCTAAAGAAAGGCCGATTATCATAACGCACAATGCGCTCGACGAACGTCCGAAATAATTTATGAGGCAACCCATGGAGAGCTCGTGTTGCGTCAGTTGTGAAATGTTTGCTTTACTTTTGATAAGAGCAGCGTTCCTTTTATCGTGATAGATGAAGAGACACAAATGGATTAGCAACGATCTTTTCTTTTTCGGAAGGATTCTTCGATGAATACGAAATTATTTCTATTTCCTTGAATAATTCTCCATCCTTTTCTTTATTTCTAATTGCAGATATTTATACGTATGATGTTAAGGACCTTTAATATATTTTAATATCTAACTTTTATTATTTAATATTTAATATCTCTACTGATTCGATATCGAATAAAGAATCAATACAACATCGCTCGAGATGTTGAGAGCATTATTTGGTCGATGCTGTAGTCATTGTATGTATTACTATCGCTAATATATTTCTTATCGCTTTCATATTGATCGTACTAGAGGTTACCGTGACTCATTGCTTCGAATACGACAGATCTAAAATATATATCGTTTTGAAATGTGACTCATATTAATTGAATTACACTAATGAAAGTATGTGATTCACTAATAAAAAATTATGTCATTGTCATTTACAATTAAGTGTACGCGTTCGAGCGTTACCGAATCGAATGTTCTTCCTGGTTGCGAGTGTTTTACGGAGAATAATCTTCTTTCCTATAATATAGCGGATATTTAAAACTGATTTAAAACTCATCTACCATCTCTGTTGGTTTTTAGACGTATAACATGGACGCCCAAGTCGGAGAATCGTCGGCATGCGCGACGGCATTACTGTGCGGAGTTAAAGCCAATTACGAGACTGTTGGCCTGGACTCCTCTGCACGCTTTGAGAACTGTTATTCCAGTTTTGATGCCCGTGTACCGTCCCTTATCAATTGGGCGCAGGAACAGGGTGAGTAAATACACGAACGTCAACAACTAATGCAAAGGATTATGTGCAATCGCATCCCATTCGCTCCGATCAATTGCAACTTAATTGGTAGCATCGTTTACCCTGACAATTGATGTTTTCTGAAATGTTTCCTTTTGTTTCTCTTGTTTTACGAAATCCTGCACTTTGCCCGTTTAAAAATGCCAGACTTTATCGTGAAATGAGAATCGCTGTAAACAATAATTCCTATTTAAATTGTTCTTTGCGAAAAGTAAATATTTATATCTCTTTATCTTAAACAAATTATGCTTTATCTTAAACAAACGACGACATTTATCATTAAATCCAATTCGAACATGATTCACATCAACAGATGCCAATTAATACTTGGTTCAGTTACTATCAACGGATGCCAATTAATACTTGTTTTAGTTACTACTTACAATTCTCTTATCTGATAAACACGTTTGAGATTGATTGATTAACTATGTTCGATAAACGATAAAAGTCGTTTATAAGTTTATCTACAAATTCACAGCCAAGTTTAACGAAAGCCTCGAATAACCAAGAACACGATCAGAAACACTGTTTATATGACATACTTAGCATTAGTTTGCATGGGCGAAGTTGCGTAATCAAATGGCGCAATTCGGCTGATGAATTTTGGTTAAGATGTGCTGTTGAGTTATTACGCCGTCGATGAAGCAATGTCATAGACTTCACTTCATGTTGCCAACGTACGGTTAGAAACAGAGCGAGAAAAGGCGAAAGAACAATGGTCAGCTTCCAGCGGCATGATCGATGATTCTATGCGCGGAATTACCAAATGTTTGGACGCTTATCTGGACAGGAATGTACCTGAATATCCACGTGCTTCAAATCTTTTATATTTCTCTGAGCTTAAAAAATTGTTGCGCCCGGAATTCATAGAAATTAAAAGTTTAAGACTACCTACAAACACTTTGATGTTGTAATTATCGTTTATTATACGATTGCAAAATTCTTGCGTTATTTCACAATTGCAAAGTTTTCGCTTTTCCTATGCTTTCCGCCTTTGGTTCTACGCTAAACGTATAAAATTAAACAGTTAATATGAATCCGAGCAACGTTATCACGACAGTAGTGAGATCATAAGATTCGAGTGTTATTTTTTCACGTGCCATTCTGTGCCAAATATCCCCGGGACGAAAAGCGAATTTTCGAGCATAAATTCTGGCCATGTGCAATTCGGACCGCTCGTAGAATAGAGTTCAGGTAACAATGAAACGAGCTAAAATTTGAACGTTACAAGCACCGGCTGTTTTAAATGAAAAAAAACCTGGAATGTTTCTACAATTCGTTGTATGAGTCTGAAATCACGAATAAAATACCAGGCACATTTATTAATGAAATAACGAACGCTCGATCGCAAGTATAGCGAGAATATCTACGTGAAAAATTCGAATATCGTATTTTTCCGAATTTCTTATGAATTAAAAGCCTCTGCGGGCAGAATATAATTTTTCTAAATGGCCAAACCGACGAAGATTGTTCTAATTTCGAGGCCGGACGAAATCGAACTTTTGTACGAATTCGAAGTCCCCATTTCCACGTTTTCACCAAAATCCGCTCAGTTTTAGGTCGATGGTACAGAGTGCAGCCTTCGACTGCGATATCTATCGAAATCATCGGGTATCGGCGTAAGCTACGATGCCCATTGGATTGTCTGGTTATAACCTGGCCTCATTAGAATGGTATCGAGCAATTAACAGAATTTCTCTGGCGCGCATGCACGAATATTAAGAGGTGCTAGGGGATGTTACCGCGATCGTCATATTGCGCCACGATCGAACCTCATTGTCACCGATATAGAACAGCTCTTTTATCCAATCATGATTTTCTAATTTTCCTCCGTCAGACATTGTTGTTCGAATTTGTAATTTTACAGCACAATTGCGAAGAATATCTTTATTTTATATGGAGCAAATATCTACGGCTGTAATGACGAAAGTCTCGCTGATTCGTTAAAATTGGAAGATCGGTAGGTTTATTAGATGCATTTTGTACTTGCCGCATGCCAAGAATACACCTGGAACTGATCGATGATTTTAATTTCTAATAGGGACATGTTCGGTTTTATCATAGTCCTTTGACTAGTCCTATGGTGAATAGCAACTGCGCTGCTGACGTGTTTTTAATATCGTTGTACTCTGTGGATCGATTCTCTCTTAGTTATAAAATTTCAAACTTCCCTGCAGCATTCAAGCATTTTTCAAAACTAGGACGAAATGAAAGTAGGAGTCGTAGAAGCGTACAAATTTCAATATTTATGATTTCGTTGTTTCATGTGTCATACGTCATGTTTCATAAATATGATAAATCACGAAAATATATTTTAAAGTTCGCTCACGTATATGGAATTTTATAATTTTGACCTTCGTCTGCAAATTGAATATCATACCTAGTTGCTCACCCTCGAACGCCTATTGTCGTTAGAATAATGATTTCACGTTTTTTAATAACCTAAAGTGTCGTCGGAAAATAACTTGGTGGTTGTTTTATAATTAACGAGCTATTATCTGCAGAGTTATCGCGTATAATTTAAAATAATTAATTTTGAAGGAGCAGATAAATAGAGGATGTAAATATTAAATGAAATTTAACGAATAAAATAACACTCTCAGAGTAACGTAATTAACAGATGCGTATAAATAATCACTTATCCGATTTGGGTTAACATCATACGATTGCGTAGTATACCACTTCATGCAATGACATTAATGACGATAATTTTACTGATAACACGATAACACGAAACCTATACGAACAGAGAACATTAGGCAAATTTAATGTATTAAAATATGCGCACAACTATACACGGAACATAGGTGTAACAACGTAATATAATAGGTGCAATATAATAATGCAAGAAATAAATGTATAGTTCCCTTTAATATAAATTTACACAACTGTTGTACTTCGTTAATACGCAATATTCGAAATCAACTTCACAATACACATTTTCATATATATACATATAACACATATCGAATCCCAAATAGCAACCAACAACTATGATACTATGAAACCATCAAAAACAATTTCTTTCATATTTTGCAAATACCGAATATGCCATTTTCGACTTTTATGGGACCTTGACGGAATATACATATATGTTTACATTTTTTATAAATAAAAATTTCCAAAGCAAATCTCTTATACTATAAAAAATTCAAATAAATTACACGATAAAATATTTGTACGTTAATCTTAACTGCAGACGCGATAATACCCGGTGTTGCATAATAAATGTATTTTGGGAACGGTTTGTTAAAATTATTTTAAAATCATAAAACATTCAACGACCATTTTCGTTTATATGTTATTTTGTTTAAAAGCTTTTAATCGATCCATTATACTTTTCGACGGTTTGGTCCTTCTCTAAAATAACGTTTTGCTTCTTAAAAGCGTCATGTACAGCGGCGTACATAAAGGAACGGATAGTTTGTCTTTAAAAACCTTTCATCTCGAAAACGGTATTTATTATAAAACCAGGTAATAGCGATGGTTCAGATAGCTTCTGCACGATGCTTTCATGAAAGAGAGGTAAAGTGACAACAACCGATTAAGCTAGTTTTAGCAAGTGAACCATCCTGACTCCGTCGGAGCAGTTTCTCCGCGGCTA